TACATACATACATACATACATACATACATACATTATACATACATACATACATACATACATACATACATACATACATACATACATACATACATACATACATACATACATACATACATACATACATACATACATACATACATACATACATACATACATACATACATACATACATACATACATACATACATACATACATACATACATACATACATACATACATACATACATACATACATACATACATTACATACATACATACATACATACATACATACATACATACATACATACATACATACATACATACATACATACACACATACATACATGCATGCATACAAACATACAAACATGCATACATACATACATACATACATGCATGCATACATGCATACATGCATACATACATACATACATACACGATTTTTTGTGCTGACATTTGTCCGTCTGAAGAGCTCCCTGACCGCAAACTGGGGTCGGCGGCACTGGGCGGCAGCCCTTAAATCCGGCCACCGGACGTGATCGGGCCGCAGGCCAAAGCCCGTTAGGGCTTACCTTCAGGTATAAGGCCGCGCGCCCCATGCCGCCGACCATGCGCAGAACATGCGCCGACCATGCGCGGACCATGCGCATACGTTTTGGGCTGGGCCCTCCCTTATAAGGGGCGAAGGATTTGCGGATTGGTTTAGGCGATTTCCGAGGATTTTTGTAGCATCTCCTCGCAGCGCCCAAAACCGAGTCCAAAAACGAGCATTTTTAGGGGGTGCCTAATACTGGACAACACTCCCAGCATTGCCAGCATCATCCCGGATGATGCGGATGATGTTATGCATGCTGGCGATGCGGGTGATGCTGGGGATGTTGTCCCCTAAGTCGGGCCAATTTTGCCGAAAACGTGCAACCTGAAAATCTTAAAATCTAAAGTGGATGGAAAATGGATGGAAAATGGCCTGGATTGAAATCTCAAAATCCTAAAGTCTTAGATTCTTAAAATCTTAAATTAATATCTAACAATCAATCATAGAATCTCAAGATCTTAAAATCTTAGAACTTAGAACCTTAAAATCTGAAAATATAAAAAAAAATCCTAAAGTCTTCGAATCTTCAAACCTTAAAAACCTTATGTCTTTGAATCTTGAGATCTTAAAATCTTAAAATATGAAATTCCTAAATTCTCAAACTCTTAAAATCTCAGAATCTTAAAAAGCTTTAACAACTTAAATTCTTTAAACCTCGAACAATTGAAATCTGAAAATCTTAAACTATTAAAATATTACCTTCCTTCAATCCGGGCTATATTTTAACTTCCTTAAACTCTTAATCTTGAATTTTTGAAATCTTGAAACCTTAAGATCTTAAAATTACAACCTTAGAAGATAGAATCTTGCAACCTGAAAATATAAACATCCTCAAGTCTTCGAATCTTGACTTCTTAAAACCCTCATGTCGTTGAATCTTCAGATGTTAAAATCTTAAAATATGAAATTCCGAAATTCTCAAACTCTTAAAATCTCAGAATCTTAAAAGCTTCAAAAACTTAAATTCTTTAAATCTCGAACTATTGCAATCTGAAAATCTTAAATTCATAAACAAGTAAAATATAATAAAATTCCTTCAATCCGGGCTATATTCTAAATTCCTTAAACTCTTAATCTTGAAATTTTGAAGTCTTGACATCTTAAGATCTTAAAATCTTAAATTCCGAAAGTCGCCAAATCTGAAAATCTCGCCAAACATAAAATCTTAAAGCCTTCCAAATCTGATAATGGATGGAAAATGGCTGGGCAATGGCCTGGCTGTTACAACCTTCAAACACCTTAAGTCTTTGAATCTTAAAACCTTAATTCTTAAACCATTGAAGCCTTAAATTCCAAAAGTCTTCAAATCTGAGACCCTTAGAATCTCAAAGTGTTTAGAATTTTTTAATCTTAACATCTACTCATCGGACTTACCGGAAAGGGAAGTGACAGAACGGGCAGGGCAAGGTGCCCGGTGGCCGGCTGTGTCGCGTCAGCGTGTAAATATATATAGTTGCGTGTGTGCGTTTAATTAGCCAAAACAAAAAACACATGCAAATGGAAAACAAAGCACGCTCTCAAACAAAAATGCCAAGTCGCACCCATGCGATCTGCTGCGGCACCACGACCACCCCCACGTGGAACCGCGGGGCCGTGAGCCCCGCCCGGCGCTCGTTGCCGGAGCCAAAGGCTCCGCTGCCGCCGCTTCCGCCGGAGCCGCCTCCGCCTCCGGGGCTGCCGGAGCCGGAGAGGGCGCCGGTCCAACCTGAGGTCAACAAGTTGGGTGTCCCACTTGGGCCATTTGCCAGGATATCTAGGCTTGGGAAGTTTGATGTTGTGGTTGCAAGAAACTGTCTTTTTGTTTTGCGCCATGTTCTGCGATACAAAGGGAATCTGGTTTGAAACTGACACATTTGTCACAGGGATAGCTTCCCGTTGGCATTCCGGAGAGGATGGTTCCCCACAACCAAGAAGGGGGAGAGGGGGTCCAAGTTTATCTCCCCCGTGGAAAAGACACACATACGTGGGTATCTCTTTCTTGGGCACCCCTTTTTCTTATGTTTTTAAAGGGAATTTCTCCCTTTTACCAAAGGAGAAAGCCTCCAAACTTGGAGGAACCGTCCCCCTGTCCCACCCCCGCTCCGCCCCCTCCAAAAAACAAGGAGCCCATCCGTTAAAAAAATCGGGCCAAAGCTACTTGGCTGTTCGGCCAAGTTGGTAAGTTGGTGTCCTTGTGGCGTCACTTTGCCCACCAAATGTCCTCAAAAGCTTGGGGAACCCACAAAAACTGGCTAACCTCCAAAAATGCGGAAAACCCCAAAAAATTGGGAACCTCCAAATAGTTTCTCAACATTGGGGGAACCAGAAATTGTTGGTTTGTCACTGGAGCGTTTCTCAGAATTAGGGACTTACCCCATCCAGGTGCTTAGTTTCCTAAAAGGGTGTCCCTTTCAATCCAAGGGCTCTGATTCCTATGAGGCAGACCCCATCAAATCTGATGTCTCTCTTTTCTACCATCAGTCAAGACCCCTGACATTCAAGACTGGCCAAGGAAAAATGCGGGAAAAAGACGGAAGGAAACTTCCTGCGTTCACAGATTCCAGAAACCTTCGATTCGCTCTCTCCCTTCCTGGAAGCATACATATATGTCCAGTAGAGCCATCGAATCCCGCTAACACTACCTGGCAGGAAAATAGCCCTCTATTCTCATGTCAGCAAGTGACTGAACAGAACCCCCAAAAAAAAGAGACAACCCAAAAAAAAAAGCGCTAAAAACAGTAACAAATATTTCCCCACACCCCCCGGTTGATTCCTTGAGACCCCTCCCTCTTGTCCCAGGCGCCGCTGAAGCTTGAGAAGGCCCTCGCCGCGGAACACGACCCGGGGCCCCCAGCGCCTGCGGTTCGCTTCGGTAACGGCACCCCGGATCCAAATAGAAGCCCTGGTTGATTTTACTACGTATGTATATACATATATGTGTGTGTATGAAAATCAAAACTAAACCACCAGGATATGGATTTAGTCCGTTTGTTTTCTTTTAGCAGGGTTCCATTTTTGGTGCGGTTTGCTTCCAGATCCCTGCTAAAAGCTAACAAGCTAAGGGGATGGCTGGGAGCCACCAAGGAATACATATTGGGTGTCTCACTTTCGGAGTGGATTGGGCCAGAAACAGCCGATGTTCGTTCAACCACTGGAATGGTTTTCCCAAAACGCACCAAGTCCAAGTACTCGGGGCGTATGCTTAGTGTGGTTTCAGACCACTTTGAGCGAGAACAAACAACTACCAACACGCTTTTTTTTTCCGGGGTCAACAGTACAGCGGACACCCCGATTCCACGTTGTGAGTCAATCAACTTAAGCCAACTATCAACCTGGGCTGCCTCAGATCCCCCCGCTCAAAGTTTAACTTTTAATGGCTTAAATGGACATCCCCACTAAACACTAAAAGGCTAAGAAGCTTAGGGGATGGCTGGGAACCACCAAGCAACCACACAACCATGGTACATCACGAATTCAAGCAAGGAGCATCCTCTTGAACAGCTCCACGGGGCGTTTTCCAAAACTGGGTAATACTTGGGTGCTTGTTGAAAAGTTAGGTGGTTTTCAGGCCGACGGCTACACACCTGGGTGTAACCTGCTGAGAAGTCCCCCATTCAGTGGGGTTGGCCTTGTCTTCTGAGTGGGTCATCTAACCACTTACTAACTTGGCGACGAACATCCAAGTAGAATCAAAGATCCTTTCCTCTACCCCCAAACCCTACCATTAGAAGAAATTTGGGAATATTACCCATGTATATATATATATAGTGGCTTTATGGTGGTTGCATATATTCTATATGCATATATACCCCAGAGAACGGGGGCAGTGGTTTGGGGGCAGTGGAAACTATCTGAAATGGATCCAGGGATTGGCTGTGGAGGCACCACTAAGCCATTTGTATGAGGCTCGGCATACCTTTTTTTTGGGTTGGTTGGAAGGGAAACCGAAGGAAAAAATTGGGGGGGGGTCCCCTTCTTCTTTTGAGACAAACCATGTATTCCAAAGCTGCGAAGGTTCTTGCATTGGTTCGAACCCATTACCTTAACGCGCCGGCGCCTGGCAGAAAACGGGGCCGCCAGAAAAGCCGCGCTTGCGCACTCACCGGGCGCATGGCGGGGGCGAAAATCCGACAAACTCAAAGTCAAGGGCCGGAACGTGGGCTCGAGGGCTCTGAGGCTATATGCCGCTCGGATGGAGGGTGCTTGGCTGGTGGTCGTGTGCTCTACCAACTGTGGGTGGAGGTGAAAATCCTGGCTACCGCTGTTTAGAAGCAAGGCAACTGCTTTGCAAGGCAGCAACCCAGGTGATATCAATAAGCATCAAGCCTGAAATTCTGTGGGCCCCCCTGTAAATACCAACGAAAGTTCTGGTTCCCCATGGTTTCAACTGGTGCGAAATGTCGCAACCGTCCACCGTAGCATGATGCCCTCCGAGGGCCCAGCGCTCCTCCTCACGCCGCTTGACTTCTTTCTGAGCCTGGCGACGGGATCGTCTTCAACATGCCGCTAGCCCCGCCTCCCCGTTTTTTGTTTCCTTTTTTTTTTTGGATGGCTTCCTATCCACTGGCATATGTACACCTATACATACGAACACACACCCATGTGCATCTGTATGGCTATACCTATACTTGTGTAACCGCAGGCAAAGAATGCACCTGAGGGCGAAGGTAGATGACTCCAGCCATTCCCGTAAGGTGGGTCTCAGTTGCCCAAAGGACCTGGGAATAAAAGGTTAACCTTGTGGGCACGTTTGGAACCTGTACTAAAACAGGGACCAAACCAGGGAAACCAACATGTCAAAAGGTCGGCTTTGGGCAAGTGTTCAGCCGGCAGGGAACCCAAGCCCGTGCTGATTGCCCCAGCAAACGGGCAACTCGAAGTGTGGCATGGTGGAAACTACCACTCAACTTTCGTCACCCCCCAAAAAACACAAAGAAAAAAAGATAAGGGGATAACCTTCTTCACTAAACCCTCAAAAGTTGGTTATCACTATTTGTTTGTTTTTTCTTTTTTGTTGGTCTTGCTGGGTGGAAGGATAGCTGGGGACCACCAAGCTTGTACGAAGACCAGCACGCCCCTCACAACTTCCTGACGCTAAGGCCGCCCGGAGTTCGCTGGGGCCCGGCGGCCTTCGCGCCCCCGGCTCTGCTAACTGGGGCCAAAGACCGAGCTCTCGGTGGTCTCCCGAGCTCGGGGGGGCCTTTTTGGGGCACGCCGCGCCCGAAATGAAACACCTGAGGGTGTTTTTGTTTTTTGTTTTTTTTTGTTCCCCCTGCACCCTGGGATTACACCCTTGGGACATGACCCGTGATGCAAAGTAACACGGCTTCATCTGGAAATGTGCCTAAATGGGGTCAATACCCAGCGGGTGTATTCCCAGGGTGTGATACGAAAACCATTAGAAGATACCCTCCCTCCCAGCTGACCGGGTGTCTCTTTTTGAGGCATTGGATCTTCCATATCGCTCTTCGGTGCCGTGATCCGGCCATCAAAGAAAATCCCCCCCAACCAAGCCAGAGGTGTGCGGCGGACACCCAGAATATTGCCATCCCACAACAAAACCATGGTGAGCCACAGCAAATTTGGGGGGAAGTCCCTTTCCTACTTGCAAATGTCGCAGGACTCGGCATCCGTATTTCTCAGCCGGCACCTCGATGCGCTTCAAAGCTTGTTCAACTGCTTGGGCGCATTCCTCTTGCACCTGCTCGGCACAGGCTCCCCGGCGGACAACTTTTGACTCAGTTGTTCAGTTGGGGAAGACCATTTTTAGGGGGGCAGCCACCCACCCAAAAAAAAGAGGAAGAAGGGCGCCACTGAACAACTGAGTTGAAGACGGTGTCAAAAGGTCGATTCGCTTTGGGCAGAGCTGGCGAAGCACTGGCTGCCTCACATGGAACGAAGCGCGCAGGGTCCCTGGGCAAGATCTCTTCCGTCGCCCGGTGGCAGCAAAAAAATCGGCTGGCTGGAAAAATTGGGAGCCAGGGACTCCCACTCGAGGCGTCAGCCCTTCGGCCAGGGGTTAAAAAAATAGGTTTTGAGTGGTTAGTTCTCCCTCCCTCTCTCCCCCCCTCCGTCCAAGTTGATTGAAACCCACAAAGCAAAAACAAAACAAATAGGATATTCTGGATTGCCCAACGTTGAGTTGGCATCCACCGTACTGTGCATGGACGAAATCCGTTCGCACCACCTAAGAAGCCCTGGAATCATGATTCCCCTGCACATGCCAACCAAACATGGTTTCCCGTGGTTTCCAAGGTGCGTTTTTGGCCAACAGATTTCGTCCATACACCGTATCAAATGTTGATTTGCAGAGTTGCCCCCCCCCCCCCCCCATACCATTTTTTGGGTAAGTTGGAGGAGGTTGGCCATCCAATGTGAACACGTGGGTCTTTTGCCAACACCGGTGTGTCTTAAAATAGTTGAACCCCCCCGAGAAAAAAAGAAGAAGAAACAAAAACGACCCACAAACCGCCAAAAAATATGGTGCCCTCCACAAAAATTGCACATTCGCAAAAAACAAAAACATCCCCCCCCCCCCCCAAATTCAGACTGAAGTTGGTGGCTTTCCTGAATCGCTTCCCCATTAAACCCACCTCCGGCCAGACGCGTGCCCCACGGGGGAGGAGAAAAAAAACCGGGGCCCGCCACGGCAGGTGCCACGGCAGGTGCCACGGAGCCCCCCGCCTTCACGGCGTTGGAGCCGCAGTTGGGCAGCTCCACCTGCATGAGCTCCGCCAGCTCCTGGTCCGCTTGGGAGGGGGGGGCTTGGGAGGGCGGAGTTGGGGGGGTTGGGGGGGTTCGGGAGGGGCCCGCCCCCCGGTTTCAAATGAACCCAAGGGTGGGTGGAAGGCGGGGTGGGGGCAAGAGGGGGGGGTACGAGTCGCAAGCAATCTGGCGTGTCTTTATTCGAGGCGCAAAGTATATTTGTCGTGTTGGATTACATACCAAGAAAAGGTGAACATAGATAGGGCATGTGAAACAAAAACGGCGAAACATGTGTGCAATCATTCAGCCCTCGTATCTCGGTTTCGGGGCACCCTTCAAGCAAAATGCATGGGGGGCCGGCTTTTGAAACCAAAGGAAGCCTGAGAAACGGCTGACGTAGGCGTTGCCCGTGCCTCCCATTTTGTCAACCCCTTCCCCGGTGTCCTTTTGGCTGAAAGTAGATGGACTTCCCTGGTTTGTTGTGAAGCATCCAGATCAACCAGGGATCATCGATGTTCTGCCCACCCAAAACAACCAGAAAGGACCTATGCTCATAGGTGGCCCTTTGAACAAATGGATGGCCCTGGTAAACGGAATCACCCCCATCTAAACCAGGGCCCTCTATTTTTGGGCAAACCAACCAAAAAGAACACCTATGCCTATGCCACTGGCCACCCGGCGCCGGCCCCGGAAGCCGACGAGACCGTCGCTCCTGCTGGTTGGTCGCCAGGTCCTCCTCCTTGGACATTCGCACCTGGCGTGTCTCGGAATGTGGGGCTTAGAGCCTAGGGCCAAATGGAATTGGCCTTCTGCTTGTGATTCCATCTGAGTCACAATCAAAACCCAGTACAAAAATGGTCGACCCAGAACCATGTAAAGAACTAAGAGGGCGGGTATCCGCAGCTATTCATGGCCGGGATCATCCCTTAACCTTCACTTACCCGAGTGTTGAGGACGTGGCAATTCTGCTTGCGCTTGCCTTGATTGACGTTGGAAGGGGAGCAAAAATTTAAATTTCAGCAGTTAAGTGGCTGGATTTCACACTAAACCACAATGAGCAAAAATGTTTCACATGTTTCTCAACAACAACCATGTATTGCCCCCATCTATTTTTGTCTCTCAATATCTTGGGTCACCTCCAACCAGCAGTTTTTTCTACATGCGTGTGAACGTCCTTCAAAGAACATGTTTCGCGAACCCGATGCACAATGAGGTCAAAAGAGATCCATGCCATGGTGTCTCCTCTCTGATTGGTCTGATTGGTCAGAGATGAACACTAGGCAGAGAGGTTAGAATAGGGTACCTTTTGTTTCTGTAGTCTATTTTAGTAGGGGAACCCTCCCCCAAAAAAGAAACGGTGAAAGGGCACCTAGCTGGGGCACCTAGAACAAATGATTGGAGCAAAACAGACCAGCTAGGCTTCCGCCTTTCCGAAAACCCGGAAAGGACTGTTCATCGGATCAGGCTCCGCACTCCCAGCCGGAGATCCGACATTTGAGTCACAATCAAAACCGATCGGTACAAAAATGGTGAACTCAGAACCATGTAAAGAACCAGATAGGCGGATCTCCGCAACTATTTGCCGCTGGGACTGCCCCTTTCTAACCTTCATCTACCCGGGTTTTGAGCACTGGGATTCGAGAAATGGAAATGAGGGAGGGCAGCTGAAGAACCTGGAGCAGAAAGGCAAAGCGGGCACCGCCGCGCGAGCGATCAGACTTCCAAAGCCTACGTTCAGACGCCCCACAGCAGGAGCCATTCTGCGAGTTCGTGCCCTGAACTGAGCTTTTTGGGCGGAAGTCGGAGTCCCCGCAACCTTCAGCCTTAATCCAAACGTGCATTTAACAAAGGAAAGCCCCGCTCCTTCTGCATGCAGGTCCTTATCCTGATCGTGGCCCTTTGCTCCTCATATTGCTTTTTCCTTTCTTCAGCCATCCTGCCACGCAGGAAGGACATCCCTGGACCTCTTGGTTGGGGAGCAAGGGGCTCTACGCTTCGCAGATGTTTCTCTCCTTCCCGCTTTGTTGGCAATGGGCATGTGTCAAAATAGGGTTTCCCTTTACCTTCCCTTTACCCCAACTCGAAAAGCGTGCCTTCAAAAAAAGGCCAAGTAGAACGGCCGACTGTGCACATCTTGGGGAGGCGGGATTTGACAGCCCACCCATCAGAACGGGCTTTTGCAGTTCTTCGAATTTGGGACCCTTTGGTGGATATTGAATATTGCTTGCATGGGGATTTATGTCACTATTTTTGGAGGAGTTCCTCACTAACCTTCACATGTGAGGCAACCTCCCAAGCTGAGGGAGGCGATCCCGAATCCCGAGCCCTCCACCATCCGGTCACTGCGAGGGAAACCAGCGCCTTGCCATGTGGCAAGAAGGAAGGATACGAATTGACTTTTGATTCCCTTGCCTCTTCTCCTGCTCCATTTTCTGCCTATTCATCTCCTCCATCTTTACTCGATGCTCAGCAGCCTTCCGCTTCACCTCTTCCTGCTGCCTCTGTCTCGCCTCTTCCTGCTGTCGTCGCATTTCCTCCTGTCTTCGTTTCATCTCCTCCTGCTTTTTCTGCATCTCAGCCATTTGCAGCGCCTTCTGCTGCTGCGCGATCATCTGCTGCTGCATCTGCGTCTGCTGGTCCTGCTGCTGTTGGTATGCCTGCTGTTGCTGCTGGTACCTCGAACTTTGCCCGACGCTTCCGGCCCGAAAGTGATCACTGGGTTCAAAGGAACACATGTGGTAACCCGCCACCCACCCACCCCCCCAACAAAAAACGCCATGGCAAACTTATGAGCTAATTTATTACCCTTTTCCCCACCATCCAAAAGTGGACAGAGACCGCATTTGACCTCCTGTTTCTTTTGGACCCCCCCCCCACCAAAAACAAAAAAAAAGAAAGGAAAAAAAGAAGAAGAAAAAAACGAACCGCCCGTTTCGCAAGTCCGAGGCGCTGCTGCAGCTGCTGCTGGTACACCGCATACTGCGCCGCCGTCGCCGCCGTCGCCCCGGCCGCCGCCCCCGGCGCCGTGGCCGCCTGCGCCGCAGGGGGCTGCGCGGCGCTGATGGCAAAACTGTGGTCCACGGGGCCGTCGTAGGGCACCTGGCGAAGTCGTCTGAGGGACCATGAAGCCACCCCTTACCTTCGGGCTCTGGATCCAAGAGGGATCTGGATCTTTTCTCTGAGCTGTCCGTTTTCACGGGGATGGCTTGCAGCCACCAAGTTTTGAGGAGCACTCAAAAGCCTGGAGTGAGAAGGCGCCTTTTGGAAAGATGGTTGAAAAGAATGAGTGGAATCGGCCGCCAGGTTCCCTGGTGGTTTCACTAGCCCAAGTAACATCGCTTCTTGGTCTACCCTGGACAAGGACTGAAAATCTACGTTCTTTGTTCATCAACTTGAGGACAAAGATGTCGCAGATGGTCCCAAACGTTGACCCACCCAAACGGGATCCCAAACGGTTTATTCCCAAAACCGGAATGAAATTCCCTCCTGAGAAGCAAGTTAGACCATGCTTCCGACTGATGATCAAATCCACTTCACACCAACTATTTTGTCCGATTCTCTCCCTCTCGCGCTATTACGCAGGTCTCATTATTCACAGAGATTTCTCCATTCGAGAACAATCCCCGCCCGGCTGCCCAAGTACTCCCCCAGCACGAAACCCAAAAAAGCGGGGTCCATTTCCCAAAAGGTTGCTTCCACTTCACCCTTGGCTTTTTCGCACCCCACCCACCCCCACCTCCCCCCTCCCCCCCCACCTCCCCCCTCCCCGCCTTCCACCCACCCTTGGGAGGCGTCATGGCGGTGCTGCTGGGGTGGTAGGCCCAGACCTGGTCCCCCCCCACTTTGGGTCCGAACCACCACCCGCAGAAGCTGGCGCCGTCCCGGTCGTCCCAGTAGTAGAGCTGCACGTCCAGGCCGTTCACCTAGAAACGGTTTAAAGCGGATGTCGGAGATGGAAAAACGAGAAGAAAACAAAAGAAGAACAAAAAGACGGCGGAAGAATTGAACCGCAAACCATGGGTTCCTCAACCCGCATTTCGACTTTCCAGCCATGCTTCTTTGGGTGTTTTGCTTGTTGGTTGTCCCTCCAACTGGAGGTGTGGGGTCAAATCCGGGCTCCAAACCACCAAAGGGATAAATAAGAAAAGCTTCACCGCAAAAAAATGGCTGTGCCAAAAGGCTCTGTTTCATTGTTTGAAGGTAGACTTGGGTGTCTTCTTTTGCCCCTTTGGTGGCTTCGGGGGATTCAGAAAGGAAAACCGAAATCCATTTCTGGAATGCAGGGGTTGGTGTCCCTTAGATGCCTTCCGTACCAGAAAAGGGATGCCCGGCCCAACCCAGAAATGGTCTAGGAACCAACAAACGCCCGCCCCCCCCCCACTCAGACAGTTTGAAGGGATAGAGGGCTCCGAGTTCTGAAAACGATTCCGAACAAGGGGCCCGAATGACTACCCCTTCGTCTTTCCCGTTGAAAGCTTTGCTCAGTTGCCCAAAAGGCCCGGAAGACCTTACTAAAAATGGGCCACAATGGGAAAGGTCGATTCGCTTTGGGCAAGTGAGTTTGTGTTGGACCCGCTGGTCGATGTTTGCTTTCCCAAAGATTCGGAGCCGGTTGAAGCGACCCTCTTTTGAACTGGGGGCTGGTTCCCTTCCGGCTTGGCCCGCATCTTCAGACTCTGTTTCATAAATGGGTTCGGATTTCGGCCAAGTTAGTAAGTTGTGAGTACCCCAGGTGACTACCCACTTTTGAGCCCCCGTCTTACAACCTTGGCAACGAACATCCGAGCACATGTTTTTAACCTCCATATGCTGAGGTCCCCTGGAAGAAAGAAAAAACGTCTATCCAGTAGTGACTCAAAAACCAACAGGGGAAAATCATAGATATTCAATTCAGCAAATTAACCTCCATATGCTGAGGTCCCAGTAGTGATAGGCTCCCTCTAATAAAACCAGCAAGGGAAAATAAACCGTCTGAAACAAATGGCTGTGGGTCAAAAATATGTATGGAAACATGTACTAAAACCTGCGGTCCATATCCTGGTGGTTTATTTTTGACCCATACCCAAATAGATGTGACCCCTTTGTTGGTGAGAAGCTGGTTTGACAACTCAAAGTCGATGGATGGGATGGCTTAGGAAATGGGTCTGCCCTTTTGACACTTGGGCATTCTGACATGTCTCTTGGAACGGGCGAAGCCCCTAGACTTGCCTGAGTGTCCTTCTTGTAGGTGGGCCTTCCGTGGTTCTGGCCGCTCGCCGTGAAGCTCCCCCTCACGATGCCGCCCACCGTGGAATGGGTACATCCCGTCACCGAGATGTGGGCCACGTTGCCGACCACCTCCTGGCAGGCAGAACGAAAAGCCTGGGCGGTCCGTTTTCAGATCCCCGGCTAAAAATATGTTTAGCGGGTTTTTCTGGACCGCCAAAAAAGAAACAACTACAAACCTCAGGGGAGGGCTGGGAAATCAGCGCCCCTTTCGATTGGAAAAGGGGCCTGGCGCTTTCGAGGTTCATTTGGATGGCTTCGCGTTTTACTCTCTAGGCCAGAGGTTCAAATCCCCAAGACAATGCAAACCAACAAGGTCGGGTTACCCAAAGGAAGGTGTCCAGTGGTGACCTGAATGGGTGGGTGGGTTTTGAGGGTGGGGTCGATTCAAAGGGAAATCAAATGGGAAGCCGGAGGGGTCCCCATATTTTTGGCACACACCCACAAGTAGGCAGCCGCTCCAAATGAACAGAGCCAAACAGGCAAAGCACTTCAAGCAAGCCCTGATTTTTTTTATTTTTTATTTTTTTAAAGAAATCAGGAACTCCCAACCTGCCAGGAACCTGGCAGGTTAAGCGCCCCCCATTCCATGGGTCTGCTGAGGAAACAAACACATGGGACACAGCATGGGCACAGCATGGGCACGGCACGCTTTCTATCCAAAGCCCCCCCCCACACCGCAACCGCACCACAAGCGGCAGAAAACGGGCGAGAAAGCTGAGCAACCCTTGTCCTCCCTAGCGGCTGGTTGGGCTTGCGCTTGCCCTTGCGCGGGCTGGTAGCCTGCATAGGCCTGCGGAATTTCTCAAAAACCCGGACCTACTGTGGATGGGCGAAATCCATTTCGCACCACCAAAGAAACCCTGGAATGATGATTCCGCCAATGGTTTCCCGCTCAACAGCTCCGTTTCCCCAAGCGGACAAGGGAAACTCAATGTGTCCTATGGCTGGATTGGTGAGTCCCCCATGTCAACAAAGGACTGCAGACGAGCAATGATTTTGACCTAAGCCTCAAGCTGAAAGGGACTCAGCCTTTGGGTCTCTGACTCAGTCGCCTGGCAAAGGAGACTCGACGCATTTCAATTGAAGGGGACAAATCAAGACATCTGGCCTTTGACCCCAGTCTGGTTTGGATGCTTCATGTGGATCCAGCCCTGTAAGAAACCGAAAGAAGATCAGCCTGCGGTCGTTCACCCAAATCGGGCATAGTCCCCCTCTCAGTAAGGAAATGAAGTATTTTGGGAGGTCCGCTAAGTGCCCTTCCCCCTTCGGTTAGCGTCTGGTCGGCGAATTCGAGTCTATGACTTTGTCACTTCGTCACGTTCGAGGGGGCCATCCTGAGAAGGTCCTGCCATGCCAGCCCTGGCCCCCCCGCCTGTGCCGCCGGCGCCTGCGCCGCCTGTGGGGCGGCTTGGGTTTGCGCAGCCGCTGCGTAACCTGGCCCCAGACCACCCTCCCAAGAGCTGACCGGAGGCTCAGCTAAGGCTTTTTGCTCTCCTCTTGAAGCCCCAGAAGAGGGCTTCCACTTCCACGCTGGAATGAGGATGGCTTGTGATGCAGGTTTCAAGGCGCAGTCGCAGAATTTCAACGTTTCGGGACCGCAGGGAACCGTCGCTTTGCGCCAAGCCGCCCTGCGGGTATCGCGGATCAGCGGAGCGCGCCGGATAGGATTGCCTCGGCTTCGGTTTCGCCCGGCGTCTATGGCCTACCTCTACATCTGGCCAAAAACTACCCTCCGAGCTTTTCCTGGGCTCCCTCCCCTTATGCCCCATGATCCTTTAAGACATGCCCTCCGCCATTGGGCGCCTAGCCACTGCACCTTTGACAGCTACAGAAACACTTCCGAAACTCGAGCTATGGCAGTTTGGCGCTGGACAAACCTGAATCCAAGACATCTCGACCTCAGAGAACTAGACCCACCAAGGCAGCACCCGCAATCTCTGTGGATGGTTGTGAACTCCGTTCAAAGGCACCACTTTGAAGCCATGGTTGAAACCATTTTGGTATTTACAGGGGAATCATATCTTCAGGGATTCTTAAGTGGTGCAGGATTTGGTCCATCCGCAAAATCGAAGCTTCCCCCAATTCTAGGTATCCTGGCAAATGATTTGCTCACAACTCACATGTGGGCAAAGAAATGAGGATGACTCAAATAACCATGAAGCAATTGACTTCGCCCTGCGCCCCCACTTGAAGCGGACGTCTCCAAACGACTTCCCCTCGCCGAGCTGCTGAGGAGCTTGCGACTGCGGGTAGCTGCCCTGCGGGGTACAAGCGAAGCACCGCATACCCGCATACTGGGGGCGGACAAAAACCATTTCGCACCACTTGGAAACCATGGGCAACCATAACGTTCGTTGGTAGTCACAGGGGCATCGAATCATTCCACGGTTTCTGAGGTGGTGCGAACGGATTTCGTCCATCCACAGTATGGCTAGGTGGACAAAGGCTCACATTGGGTGCGTATGGCCTTAGACTGGGTCATGATCAACGCCTTGCGTTGAGTCATTCTGGTCCTTTGGCGGACGGCGATTGGTCGATGATTTACATGGGTGCCATGCTCACCATGATTGAAGCTTGTCCTATGTGTTCCCCGTCAAACATGGCCAGCGGGGGGTTCTTTCTCTGCTTTCCAGTTGGTACCCTTGTTTGGGGGTTTCAAGCGGAAACCACCGGGAAACCAAAGGAAAACCAAACGGGACCGGGGTCTTGGCAGGGTTCCCTCATTAGAGGCCTCCTTCTCCTGTGCAGGAGGCACACGCCAGTTCTTGTCCGCCTCTTTGTGTTCGTGCATCTCACTGTCGGCTTTGTTTGTGTTGCTTGTCTTGGCTGCAGTTCTTCTTCCAGTAGAGAGGTTGGAATAAGGGTACCAACTTTTTTTCTGTAGTCTATTTTAGACACGGGGAACCCTCCCAACCAAAAAAAGAGGGGAGAGAAGGGCACCAATTGCTGGACAACCTAGTCTTGGTTCCTCTTCCTCATTCTCGCACTTGCATGGCTCAGCTTCAGCCGTCAGCCTGGGGGCTGGCGGTCAGATGTCTCGGCCTGGGACTGGCCGTAGAGCTGTGGGAACGCAGGCTGGTAGTAGCCGCTCATGGGGCAACGCAGCTCGGCCTCGGCCGAGCTGCCACCCATGGCCCCTGCCATAAGGGGGGGGGGGGGCTGGGGGGGGTGGGGATTCCGGGCCCCAACTCCATAAAAATAGCGTCTTCCGAATGATTTCGGAGAAGGGCGGCGAAGATCTCTAAGGGTCAAACTCACCCCTCCAGTTCCCTTCCCCCTTTCCAAGAATCACAGTGGGTTTGGGGGAAGCGATTCCCCCAAACCTTGGCTGGCTGCAAGTAAGACTGATCCAGGGGTGTTCGGAATGAAGCGATTCAAGGGGCTTCCCTGAAAGGACATGCGGGGTGGTTGACTGGGTCTACTTCTGACGCGAGGAAAGGAAGGCGTCTTCCAACCATCCATGAGTGGAGGGGCAAAGCCGGAAGAAGAGAAAAGAACGCGTCTCGACTGCTCAGCGCCTTCCGTTTGCTTGATGTCGCCCACAGGAAAAACGACACGAGGGAAAACCGCGTTCTTGGTGTTATTTGCTCTTTCGCCGCCTTGGAAAAAATGAGAACATAGTTCCAGCGGTGAAATCGGTTCCCTAGGCCCAAGTTAAAGCTGAAGTTGAGACTCACCCAGGAAAAATGCCAAGCCTCCCTTCTTCCGAGTTCCTCAAGGGGAAATCTCCAAAACCCACCCTACCGCTGAGATTCTTGTTTCTACGTAGCCCTTTTCTTGGGGCCCCCCTGTTCTTGGAAGGTGTTCTGACCCAAGGCTTCCAAGCGATCCCATCGACTCGACTCTCCCCCGAGGCCCCGGCCGAGTTTCTGCCCAAAACCTTCGTCTCTAAGCGACCACTCGCGAGCCGAAGTCGCTGGCCGGCGAGATGTTCTGACCGCCGTCCGCCAAAAAAAGAGTCGGCTGCCAAAAAAAAAATCCGGGCCTGGCCATTTTTTGGGTTGCTGCGAATTGCTTGAGACCCCTGGAAAACATATTTATATATGTACATATCTATAGCCGCCAAAAAAAAATCCGGGCCTGGCCATTTTTTGGGTTGCTGCCAATTGCTTGAGACCCCTGGAAAACATATATATATATATATATATATGTACAATATGTCCAGTAGTGAGAGATTCCCTTTAGAACCAACCAGGGAAAATATATATATATATATATTCTGAACCGCAAATGAAAGGGCGCAAAGGGAAATCCAATATTGCTTCCCACTTCATTTCAGAAGTTCCGCCACGAGACAAACCCAAACAGCTTGCCGTTTGTCTCATCAAAAGCATCCCGCTAAGCCCGCCCTGCCGGCTTCACTCGGGCTGCGTGCGAGGCCTGCGGGCCGCTCTCTCTTTTTTTCAGCTGAGCGCTCCTTGGCTGAGCCGGGAGCATGACATGTCTCGCAACTGGTGGCTTGGAGCATCGGTGGTTTGGTGGTGAAGAAGGGGCTTCCCATTTACCCTCTACAACAGGGATCCTTACATTATACATCTGAACATTGCCTTGGAAATGGTGGTTCCCTTCACTTTGGTGGAGCAAGCCATGTCTCAGATGGGCAAAATGTATCTTTTAAGGAGCCCTCTACAAGAACCAAGATTTCAAATCCCCAAACCGATCCCCTGAACATCGCACGTTGGCCCCTGCAAAAAAAAAGCATGGCTGCTTGTTTGCTTTAGCCATGTACAGAAAATCCGGGGCAACATGAAACACGCAACAAAATAGCAAACATACCGAAGCACGCCTGGATTGCAGCCAAGCCTCTCACTGCTTTCACGCCAAAATGCTTGTGGCGGGGCTTGCCGAACGCAGTGAAGACACTAAGTATAGACCAGGTGCGCAAAAAGGTGGGCGAGTCCGAGCCGACATAAAGCCTTTTTCATAACAATGGGGGACCCCCAGAGAACCTTTGTGACAAAATAGGGGGACCCCCAGAAGGTTGAGCGTTCGTTGTGGTTTCCCGCTTAACCAACCCAAGGGGAAGGTCAAAACAGGACACACCCACATACAAACTCTGCAAAAGCGGCCCAAGAGTGTTCGGCCCAAGTTTGCCTAGAGGCCCCTTCTGGCGCACCTGGCCATGCCGGCATTAGTGCAGCTTTCATACAGTCAGACAGGCAGCTTTTTACCCTTTCGGCGCGCCTACCCTTTTCCTTTCCCTCCCACTTTTTTTCGCGAGCTGTCGACTTCCGGACGAACTGGACAAAACACCCAACATGACGCTCCACAAACGCACGAAGAAACCGGAGAGAAGACGCACGTCCCAAGTGCGGCTCTGCAACAAGACCAACGCGTAAACCTCCAAAAGTTGGTTGTCCCCGATTTAGGACACTCCTTATGCAACCTTCGGCACCAAGATTTGTACCAGGGGCCAGGGCTCATGCAGTACGGTCCCAGACTCAAAAGGATCCTTAGCATTCTTGGTTCTCCCCGGACAAACCCACGGAATGGTCAAGTCCAATGCACCAGCATCTGATTGGGGGTTACCCCTGTCAAATTGCAACAATTATACCGGCACCGAGATTGGGGGGGTGGGGAGGGGGGGTGGTGGTGGGGGGTTCGCTGGAAGCAGCCTACGAGGTCAAAAAAAAGAAAAGCCACAAGCCAACGGCTTTGAACTGAGAGCGCTACAAGCCAGCAAGTGATCCTCATCCATTTGCACAGCCTGGGGGCCTGACTCTTTCCAGCATTGGGCGAGAGGGCCAGCAGTTTATTTCAGATGGGCTTTGAAGTCTTGGGCTGTTTTTTTCTACGCCGGAGCAGTTTAAAGCCCGACTTTTTTCGAGATTTCCGTATAGCGGGCCCTGAACATTCGCGGGGGGGTGGGGGTTGGGCAGGGGAAGTTTCACCCCCCAATGCAAACCGCCTGCGTTCTTGTCCGACAGCATCCTGAGCATTGTGCCATTGGGAAATGCTGGGAGGACCTTTGGAGTTTCTTAGCTTTCCATTTGTCAATAACCCTCTTGGCTTCAAGCCTTTACCAAAGCTTCTTCTGGCGACTACTTCTTCCCGAAACGGGAGATTGGTTTCCGCTGAATCAAGCGCCCTCCGTTTCCGTGAACGTCGCCCTGAACGGAGTGGCGCGCGCAAGGTCAAACATCCCAAAGTAACTGTGGCAAGGGGGCAAAAAGAAAGACCAGTGACCAGCCGACCATTCTTCAGTGACCAGCCGACCGGGGTGAAGCCGTCCGAAGGTTCGAGAAAGATCCAGCCAAAGGGGGGAAAAAAGCCACACATTGCATGGCGCCAACTTCAAGAGCTAAACCGCAAAATGGATGCCTGCTAGAAGTGTAACGTTTAGTGGCGTGGAAAGTACCCCTAAATCAACTACAGAGCTAAAAACCCAAACCGGATGGCTGGGAACCACCAAGAGGAAGGGCAATGAATCACCCAGACACACGTGCGCAAATGACGCCTTTGCCAGCAAGTGCCAATCTTTCTGGGCCAACACCGCCATCGCCTCACCCGGTCACACCCCTTAACCAACTGGCAGAAGCAACTGGATGCATCTTATCAAATGGGAAAGTGGTAAACGGTAAACGGTATCTTTCTCCTTTAGCTTATTCTAATCTTCGACACCCGCTACCTCAGCTTTCGCCTCCAACCAAGACAGCTTTCGCCTCAGATTCCGGGGGATTCATGAGATACCAGCTCTGCAGGTGTTTGTGGTCGATACTCGGCGGAAGGCAGTCATTTTCTAGACTCAAAGACTCAAAAAGGTGTAAAAGGTCGAACCAAAGAGCAAGCAAGATGATTCGACGCTCTTAGGTGGAGGATCGGTGCAGCCCTGCCCTCTCAGCCTCGCTTTATGTGTTACGCGGCAGTAGCTCAAATTTGCCAGAGGTCAGTTTTGTCCTAGCCGCGCTTCTTTTCGTTTTCGGTTTCGTCACCTATGGGAGGCTTGCTTACGAAGGTTTGCTTGAAGCGACGCCAAAGAAAGAAACAGACGAAATCAACACAAACTGACACCAAGGTTGCTCCGAAGACACCCCCTGGTTTTTTGGCGCCGATTTGGGTCGGCTATGCAAAACAACGCCGTGGAGACTTGTTCTGTGGGGAAACCCCGTCACTTCGGAGCAACCGTATCCAGTCCCCTGAAGGCCCTAGGGCCAGCACTTTGAGGTCACTTTGGGCCTCGCCTGAGTATGGCGATCTTGGGGGACGGGTTTCCCACTGAGTTCTTCATCAGATTCTGTGAACACGCGCACGAAGCGCAAAGAAGCCCCACACTGCACCTGGGTCGTTTTGTTTGTTGCTTTGCCTTGTGTGGTGCTGCATGATCCATGATCCGCTGTCCACTGCATGTTCCTCCGAGGGCTTTTTCCCGGGCCGTTTGTTTTTTTCTGCGCACGCCATGCGAACATAGACACGAAGCTTTCAGTCACAGCTGCACAGCCTTCAGCCTTCAGCAAAATCCGAACCCGCAAAGTCTTCGCAAACACGGAAGGCTAGCAACAGAGACACGCGCGCATGAAAGCCAGAGCTTGACACGTCAAGCTACCCTAAGAGGAGAAAAGGTGTGCCCTGGTTTCATGTAGCTAGTCTTCCCCGCAAAGGTACAGGCAGGATCGTAAAGCTTTGTGGGAAAGACTCTGGGGACCAAATTGGCAGCTTCCAACGTACCCTTGAGCCGTTCTAGGCCGAAATGCGAGCCCAATTGCCAGCCCGAACCGAAAAGTAAAAGACCAAAGAGCCTGAAAGACCAGAACTGCAAAGCGAGGCTAAAAGGGATTTCAAATTAAGTGGAGTAACGAGAGCCTGAACATCTCTCATACGCACTCACCGGTTGCGACACTTAACCACATTTCGATCCAAAACCTAGGATGTACATATGTTCTACCTCATGGTAGTCAATGTCAAAGATGGAAGACCTGGAAGCCGGCTGTCGACAAAAAAAGTGGTTGGGGCTGAATAGTCTTAGAGTAAAAGCGAAGGCCAGCTGGGGCCAACTCAGGCCAGATGAGGCCAAATGGATCTGTTGTGTTTCTTTTGATGGTACCCTTCTTGGGGTAGCTTTAAAGGAAACCAAGGAAAACACAAATTTGGCATTGGGTTCCCCAAACACTCTTGGGTGTGTCTTTTTCTTGTCTGGTGGGCACTGACTGTACACCTGAGGCACCCGACAAAATATCTTAACCCCCTACAAACGGCCCCCAACTCGCACGGGACTTTTTAGTGGAACCGCATACTGCCTTGCTTTTGAGTGGCACCTAGGCTGCGTCAGACTTGTTGGGGAGTCGCTTTCACAAAAAATAAGTCAACCCAATACCCATACCCTGGCACTAGGGCAGCACCTTCAATCACGAAAGCCTGGGCAACGGCAGTCATGATTTGCACGGTGACCATTTGAAAATCCCATGTTCAAAGAAAAATATCTGGTGAATATAATATTTCACCAGCCTGAAATAAGGTGGTTGGAGGGATACTCCCCACATAAACCACCATTTGTGGTGAGGTCGTGAGGTCGTTATAATTCCCCCAGAAACATGTCATCTCAAGCACAATGGTAGACATTGCCTAGCACATCGCTTGTTCGTTTGTTCTGTCAGACCCATGAAGCGCCATCGAGCACCATTGACTCATTTACCAACCTTGGCTAGCTCCCCAAAACAGCTCAAAAAAGCGCTGCTACGGCAGCTCTCTGAACGAAATCCTGCTGATTTTTTCTAAGTGTGCATCACCATGTTTTCAAAGACCAACAACAACACCCTTTCCGTTCGGTATGATCTGTTTCGCCCTGAGAGCCTGTTGATTTAAGCAGCTGGCCGCCGAACATCATGGAATCACAAAGCGCACAGCTGCTTACACCGGCGCGCAACGTGCCACTTTACACCTGAATCAGCGGTCAGCCTAACCTGCTACACTACATGCTGGCGACCTCAAAATGCATATTGGGATGAAGATCAAACGTGGCAATTGCTAGGCCAAATCGCCTTCAGGTCTGAAACCACCAACCCCTTTCAAGCATTTCATATTGAGCACCATCTGGGAGGTGCCGATATGTTTTTTTTCTTTCTCTTTTTTCCGCAAAACCTAGTCACCCCGATACCCATACCCTGGCTCTAGCGCAGCACCTTCAATCACGAAAGCCTCGGCAGCGACCACTTTTTGGAACCCAAGGTTGAAGAAGAACATCCTGTCATGTGATGCTCGAAAAGACCTGGTAGAATACCACTTGTCAGAGCCATTGCAGTTGCACATCAGTTCTGTAAGACCTATGTAACCACCATCGCCCATCGTTGACTCATTTCACAACCTTTGCTAGCAGTGCGCGGGAACTCCTTAAAAAAGCTCCGCAAATGCCTGCTTCTGGGGGCATCACCATGATTTCAAGGTTCAACACGTAGCACCCTATTCTTATAGAAGTGGGGCAGCACAAGCAGAGTTGGGCAGGCCGCAACTGCCAAACTTGCCGTACAAACCCTGTTGATTGGGCAAGCGGATCGACAGTTTGTCCAAACTAGCCACTAGCCAGTCTGCTGCCTCTTGCAAAGCATGATGTAATCACAAAGCGCACAGCTGCTTACACTACTTGGGGCGGTCCACCTACTACACTACGCGAACCCAACCGATAGCTAGCGTGTAGCCATCCGATCCCAACTGCACTTGCGTGCATCTCTTTGCTTTTGCGTGGCATCGCAGTGGCAGCGTGGATCTTTCTTGGAGGGTCTCCCAAAAGAAAAGAGCTTGGCACCCCGATACCCACACCCTGGCACTAGGGTATGGCACCTTCAACCACGAAAGCCTGGACAACGGCAGCCATCTTTTGCGCGGTAACTATCATGGAACCCATGTTGAAGACAAAAACGCTCCCATGCAACTGTCACCCTGGCGTTTCACAAGGGATCCAAATTTCTTGCACCGAGTCAAAGCAAGCAACCACACGGACGAAAAATGACGAGGGAAAGGCATCTAGCTCCGAAACATGAGACACACACGTCAAGAAAGCTCCGACGGCGAGCATAAGCAGGTAAGGAGATGAGAAAGAGAAGGCATCGTCTCGAAGCTCCGAAACAAACGAGCAACATGCCAAAGCCCCAGCTACCTGCACAGAACAATTCGTTTCTGCTGAACGCGCCAAACGTGATATCAACACTTCACGCGCGTTCTTAAAAACCATCCCACGTTGAACCTCGAAGAGAAACGCACGCCCTCGACTGGATTAGCTGGGTTGTTGCCCCTACTCTTAGTTCTGACCATGGCGCCTGTCAGAACTGACAGGACCCAAAGCTGCGGACTCCCAGCTGGGCTACCGAGTGGCCCCAGGGGCGACTTTTTTGGAACTGGCCGTCCCAAAGCCCTATCCCTCGATGCAGGTAGCCCTCGATTCCGAGGCCTGCCCGTCGGCCTCTGAAAATCAGATACAGCTCACTCGGGTGTGTCGTCCTTCCTTTGAGGGATTCGAACCCGCAAAATGCGCAAAATGGTGGTGTTCCTTGGGTGTTCCCTTTGAAACCACCGAAAAAGGGGGACCCCTCAGAAAAAGACACACCCACTTGCCAACACCACTTGAACGGGGGAAGAGGCCGCCGGGCGAAAGCAAGCCCGAACGAGGTGCAACGAATCCCATTGACCTCAGCTGAGCAAGGAAATATCGACCCTTCGATTTGTGCACATGGGCGTGTCGGGAAAGGTGGGCTCCATTGATTTCCCTTCGGTCACTCCAAAAGCTTCCCCTTACCCCAAACCTCGCGCCAGAAGGAAAGCTGGCCGCTCACCTCCTGAAACCTTCGTTTTCCGAGCTTCTGAACTCGAGCCACTCTTTAAAAAGACAAGTTTAGTGGTAAACCAACATAGGGGCGTGTTTTTATTTGAGGGAACCCTTTTTGGCTGGCCTTCAAGGGGAAGGCAAAAGGAAAACCGACCATTCTGGGAGTTTCCTATTTTGAGACAAGCCAGCACATTGCATTTCCTTGGGCCAATCCGCGTGACTTGCTGGGTCCTACACATAGCGCCAGGATTTCATACGGGGGTGAACCCTCAGCCGGATTTGATTTGCAAAAAACTCGACAACTATCGACGACTTCCAAGGTCAATGATATTCCCTTCCTCCCACTGACATGGCACCAGACAGAAGAGGGTGTCTGGAAGATCCTTTTCCTCTTGGAAGAACCCCTTGTCAGGTGCCATGGCAATGTGGTTGTCTTCGTTTCAGGCGGCGGCCCTCTCGCCAACAAACAAAAAACGCAAACCCACATGAGCGCCCAAGACCCTTTGACTTCTGGTTCCATCCAAGTGGCTACAATCGTTTGTACAGGCCTTCTTCAGCGACAATTCAAGTGGCCCCTTTTTGCATCAACACGCAAGTGCACAGGCCACTGTAGATACTTTCCTCTTGGAAAGGCACCTTGTGCCCTTTCATGTTAGTTGGTGGGAGGGTAAGACCAAGCTGCAACCACCCGTCGCCTAAATTTCCCACTGCCCTTTGGCGCCCCAAAGGGGCGCTCCACACACACACACACACACACGGCCAAGCGGCGGCACAAAGATCCCCCTCACTGGACCGTGAGGAACACCTGGCAACGAGCGGCCAAGAAACCTGCTGAGCTCTACGTCGTGTTTTGCCCCCCCCCCCCCGCTGTGGAGGTCCCCCCGTTTTTGCGGGTCTCCGAATTGTCCATAGCCGCCCAACCGCAGAAAAGAAATGGAACATGAAATTACTCAGGGCGTGGCCAGTTTCCGCCTCAACAAACTTGCACCCCTCTCCCACCCAAACAGGAGGGCCCCCCCCCCGAAAAAAGATCCACCTTGGCCTGCCAAAAGATACCAACCGCGCGAATTGCGTGATGGCCTTGTTTGGGGCATTATCCATGATTTCTGGCTGATCTTTGGTACCCTCTACCTCCAAAACAAACCGTTGATTCAGGTCGATATGTGGTGAACCTTCATGTGAAATCATGTTCAAACGAGATACCAGCGCTGCAAACAGTGCTTTTGGTTGATGTCCAGCACGAAGGCGGCCCTTTTCCAGGTTCAAAGGAGAAAGGCCGAAGCAAAGAGCAACCAAACTTGGCCCACATCTGGAGTACACGGAAAAAACCGACAATGCAAATTAGTCCCCTGGAAAAGATGTGAGAGCATATCAAGTAGTCAAAGATTCCCTGAAAAAAACAAACAGGGGAAACAAGAGATATGGTGGGGGGGGGTCTTGTTGTACCTGTTCGGCGTTGTTTTCAGAGGGTCTGAATCCTAACAAAAAGACACCCAATACTGTGGATGGATAGACGTCCTGCAGTTTGGATGGAGGAAGCCCTACGAATACTGGGAATATGGATGCCCGAATCAAAGCATACAGAAAGGCTTTGCTCGAATTATTCCCTACCACCGAAATGAAAAGGGGTCCCAATACAAGATGTCTGGTTCAGAAAAAGGAAATCCGGCTACACGACACCAAACCAATACAAACCAATAGTGTATTTTCTGAACTTGGGGGAGGCCAATCTGTTTTCTCCGTTGGGGCCTTCCCTGCTGGGTCCCTTCACTCGCTTCTCGGGAGAGACGCGAAGCTTCAGACCTCTCTAGCGCAACCTTTGCTGAGGCCCCGGGCCGTCCCCGCGTTGCCCACGGCGGTGACCCAGCCCACCTTGCCATCCAACTTGGCCTTGCACTTCATGCGCATGAGCCCGGACCTCAGCTCGAAAAAAAATGGGAGCACGGGGCGTGGCCCTTCCTCTTTTGGGGGAACCCGCTGGCAGGGACCTCGGAAACAAATTTGGCCGCCCCAACTACTTGAAAAACCAGCCCCCCCTGCTGGTTGGGATTTTAAAGGGAGGCCACAAGGAAACCAACCAGTTGGGGGCCATTGTTCGGTGTGCGTCCGTGTTTTTTAGGGGCTTAGGGACTAAACAAAAAATGGGTGGTGTCCCACCCCCCCCACCCCACCTCTCCAAATTTCCCGGAAGCATGTCCTCGTTTTTCCAGGGAAACTCTCTCATATTGGCCCTCGAGACTGCGAATATCAATCCCGGTCCAGGAGCTGGGGACATGAGGAAACGAACAGCAAGACTGAAACTCAGTTGCCTCTACTAAAAATGGACCAACATGGGAAAACCAACAGGTCAAAAGGTGGGCTTTGGACAACTGAGGAAACACATACAAACCCGCTGTCTTCCGAAAGCTTGCTGTGCCAACAGTTTCGAAGTGAGCGCCAAACCCGACTCCCCTTCCAGAAACACAGAAACCACAATTGTTAATGGTTTATCCCCAACGCCATGAAGCCAAAGAACCATGAACACCCCATCAAACTGGCACTGTCCTCCCCTTTTAGTGGGAGGCGCTGCACGTCAGATCGACGACATATCAACAAGTCTGCGGGGAATAGACCTCTGCAGTTGGATTGGTCCAATTTTTGGACACATCCCTTCCAACCCTTGCTGGGTGTTGTAGCATTCCAAAAAACACAGGAAACATGCCCCCAAACCTAAAAAGGAACAGAACCCAACAAACCTAAAGGCCGAAAAGCATGCCAACAACAGTGAATAACTCAACTAGTTGGCTTCGTTTCATGGTATCGGGCACCCTTGGAAACCTTCATCATGACTCGCTCGTTTGATTTAGCCCAGCGGTGAGCTCATTACATGAGATGCCTTCATCATGTCTAGTCGGCCAACAAGTCCAAACCTCAGATTTACCACATAACATGGTCTTCCCGTTACAAGTTGAAAGTCCGGGAGTGAGCGATTGAAAGTAGATGGCGTCGTTCTACCGTCTGGGCTTCAAGTCATCCCCTTGTACTTGCCCGCGTCAAAATATGTTTTTGTTCAAAAAGAAGTGCGTTCAGCCGGTTGCTTCGTACCATCTGCTTACAGGACTCCGATCGGTCGCTCCGAGTCCTTGGCTCCCTGCCAACCCTTTCGCATCTCCCTGCGCCAAGGCCGGGGCTTCTCCTCCTTTCTCATCCATTCCCTGACCTCGACCACTTCTCCTGGTCGCAGCTTCCGGGTGTTGTCCACCTCGTGCCGCGAAGCGCGCGGCGCGAAGCGCCGCGAAGCGCTTCAGGGGGGGGTTTCTGAGAAATCAGCCTCCTGACTGGGCCTTCACCTTTTTTTTTCTGCTAAAAAGTGACGAACGTATCGTGGGCCTAGTGGAAACCCAACCACTCAAGCCTAATAACCTAAAAATGTAAGGGGGCGGGGACCTACCAAGCTGAATGGATACCCGCCAAATACCTGGGTTTGGGTGGACTTCTTGTAGAGCTTCCTGCCGACTTCTTAGATTCTGGGATCACTCACACGGCTGCACATAAAATATGTCCGGTAGTGATAGGCCCTTCAAAAGCACAAAGTGAAACTCAGAACAGGTTCTTAAGCAACAGGAGGCTAAAAGCCCTCTTCCGTGTCCCTAACCAAAAAAAATACGATCGATAGCTCCCTTTGTCCCCCCCTCCCACCAGCCAGGACTAAGGTCCAAAAAGTTTATCGAGTATCTGAGACGGTGGAAGCAAATGCCGCAGTCCGGGGCAAGAGCTCACGCCTAAAAAATCCTTTAAAAAATCTGGCTGATCCTCATGTCTCTTTTTTGAGGGAAGCCACCTTTTTGGGCTTGTTCTGGGGGTTGATCAAAAGCTCCCATGAACATGGGATGACCATTGGGGATACCCACTAAAAGAATCACGAAAAGGAAAAGTCAACCCCAAGCCAGCACAGTTTCCACATGTTTGCGGGTAACCCAGTGTTGCATGGCTTCCATCCTATCACAAAAGCAAGAAAATACTTGCCGGCTGGTCGTGACCACTTCACGTCAAGACCAACAACAAATTGACTTCACCTAGGCGTTTAGGGCTGTCTTCCTAATCCGCCAAGAGAATGAGAAGTCCGGATTCGGCGTTCCAGACTCTTTCTTGGGGGAGGCGCACCGTCACGCAAAACCCCAACTTTACCTCCCTCCCGCCAACCCCCACCCCCCACCCCCTAAACCCCTACCCCCTACCACCCCCGACCACCCCACCCCGACCACCCCCACCCCAAAAAAAAAACCAAAGCACAGCGATGGCAAGGGGCCATCTGCTTGCTCAACTCCTTCGCCTCCTCGGAGTCGATCTCGAAGGTGCTCGTGAGGCTCGTCTCCTGCGACTTTTTCTCGGCTTTCTCTCGCCGGGCCCAAAAAAAGATCGACGAGAGGGGCCTTCACCAAACAAAAAACGCGTGGGATGGTGGCGGAATCCTCTTCGACGCACTGTTCAGAAAACCTGGAAGGATGATTCCCTGTAGGAGTTCCTCTCCGTGGCTTGCATCCATGACCGAGGTCTTCTCAGGCCTGAGCTGGCGAAGTTTAGGCAACTTCACGGCAGCGGCAAGGAGGACCATACTGTGGATGGTTGCGCAAGCCCCTCAAGGCACCAGGTTGCTGATGACCCCCCAGAAAGCACCACAGTGGTTTCCCATGTTGCAAAGTGGTGCAGGATTTCGTCCATCCACAGTAGGGAGAGAGGAAGAACACCTGGAACTTAGAACTCTGATAAGTTCGCCCTTCTTGCCAAAGCCTCACAAAAGAAAATCCGTTCACTGAGGCAGCGCGTCCAAGCGGGTCCCATTCTGGATACGTTTCAGAAGTGCGGTTTTGGGCGAACACGAAGTAGCCCAGGGAATCAAAGAGGTACACGTAGTTCACGAAGTACCAAAAGAACCCAGTCCCAAAGCACAATGTAGAAGGTGCTGGTGACCAGATTGTGGGAGTGACAGTTAATGAAGATCAAGTTTGGGGAGGTTGGGAAACAGGTTGGAGAAGGGAAGTTTGTGTCCAAGCCCAGGACGATCACGCAGAGATCCTCCGCCCACCTCCCAATGCCTAACCACGGCGACGCCAGGAGCCTTTTCCCGACGGCGAAGCAGTCAGCCGCACTATGGCTGGCGCAACAAGAATCCGTGACCGGGCAAAACTTGAGCCAAACGGCCATTCGGCCGTTTTGCCACATGATGAAACAACACGTGAACAAAACACACCCCCCTCATCCGATATCTGGACGAGAGAAAGGATGCGAGACAGTTGATTTCACGACGAAAGGGACCAACCAAAAATGCCGGTGTCAACTCAGAGGTGAGCCAAACGGCATCACCTGGGCCCCAGTTAAAATCCCGCCACCACCCCGAATTATCGGGGCGACAGGATTATTTGACGAGTGGACCACATGAGTGAACAATGACATATTGGAGGAACCAGACGAAGATTCCTCTCGTGCCGTTCATGCATTGTCATGGGACGGCGACATGCGGAGGGGGACCCTATCTGGATCACCGCGCCTCACTGCATGCCGTGAAGTGGTTGGAGGAGTAGTCGAGTTGGGAGGAAATAAGAAAAGGAAGTTCCGAAACTGGTGTGAAAATATCCGGCTACGGCCGGCCCGGCACTTCTAGTGCGGTCACAGCCTCACACAGGATCGCCAGGAGAACCGTCTCCGGCGCGCACGGCAGCGGTGCGGGAGGGACACGAACAACGCCGGATCAGCGGTACAGGGCAATGGAGACCATCACCCCCAGCAGTGCCGCATGGGCGAGAGGAGGACCGGCGCGGTCGCGTTTTTCGGCGACACACGTGCCATCCTCGCCCTTCTAAGGCGGATGCTGATCGCGGTACCTGCCTACCACCCCGAACCAGGTTCTTCCCGGTCTCTGGGCGCGTCGTCTCTCCGGCGTCCACCGCGGTCACCTCGATCACCTCCTCCATCCCGACGGCGATCCTCACCACCACCCCTACTGTGGTCGCCAGCCGGAGGTCGGCGAGGCGGAGGGGGATCTGATTGGTGACGTCGGTCATCCCTGCGCCGGTCCCGGTGGCGATCGCGACGGTCATCAGCCGGGTCATCACGTCCGCGGCGCTCATCTCGCCCCGGACCGCGCCTCTCGGATGGCTCCTCATGACGCGGAGGAGGTCGGCGATCATCGCGTCGGCCTCCGCGGGTATCCCTGCCACGATCATCCCTTTGTCGGGGCGGGCCAGGATCCTCGCGTCCACCTTTGCCAGGTCGATGTTTTCCTCGACCCTTCCCCTCACCCTTAGGGCCGCGACGATCCTCGCGGGCCCCAAGCGCGGTCCTTGACCGATCGTCATCTCGGTGGGGCCGTGACTCATTGGCCGCACGAGTGGTCCGAGGCACGCCCGGGGGAAGCTCCCACTCATCGTTGTCGTCATCGCGCGGGTCATAGCCGCCATGGCCGCCCAAGGAACCGGTGGCATCCCGTGGTGGGGACGCAGGAGTTCCGGGACCGCCCGATCGAAGACGAACCCGGGGAGTCGCGTCCTCGCCGGTAAAAGGATCCTTCTGGGTGTAGAAGCCCTTGGTTCTGCCCCTTCTCTCCCCCCCTTCCGCACCGCTTCTCGCGGGGACCGGGGATGGACGGGCAGGCTGGGCCATGCTCTTAGAGCTGGGTTGCCCGCCAGGCGGGACTTGAACGCCCCCCTCTTTCTCGGGCGCGGGGACCCGACCACGGGATGTCCTCCTGGCCTTGGGTTGGTCGGACTCACCCTCCAGCTCGGACTCGGTGTCAGGGACACGAGTATTGATGGCCATGTCCTCTTCCTCAAACGGCTCCCCAGCCGTGGTAACGCCTGCAGCAATGGGAGCGGGAGGAGGAGGAGGAGGAGTTGGTACAGCTTCACCAGAACCGACGCCTGCGTGCGACACCACGGGAGTCTCCGGTTCTACCGGGATAGGCGGCGCAGGAGGAGCCGGGGGCGGTGGCGGAGGGGGAGGGATCTCCTCCTCGTCGTCGCCCATGGGCTCGTCAAGGTCGTCAGGCTTCTCGTCATCTTTGTGCGAAGACCCATCCGATCCCAGCTCATCCTCCGCTGATCCAGCAAAGTCGGGCTCGTCTTCGTCTTTCACGCCGGGGCCTGGTGTAAGGCGAATTCCGGGTCGATGGCGATCGCGGGGTCGGAAGCGGTATTTCCTTGGTACAGGGTCAGCCAGCTCCTGTTTGATGTCATCCTGGGTTTGAGGACGGTCGGCCAAGCATGTGTCGTAGGCAACGGTGGACGTCCGGTAGATCAGATCATCCATACTGCTGAGGTCGTTGAGCGTGTAGATGTATCCCTTCTTAATGCCTTCCCGTATCGTGTCCATGGCCTGTTTGAGGCGCGCGGCGGGATCGAATCCGGCCTTTCTCCGCATGGCCTGCATTATCCCGCAGTGCTGTGCGAGCAGCCCCACCTGGGCCTTGAACCCCTCCCCGGACACATCGTTGGGGAGTATCGGAGAAAGGTGCCCTGATCTCAGCCCAATGATATGGGCCTCAACCATGTAGTAGGACGTGTAAAAGCCGCACCGGTTGGCGTTGAAGTTTGCGGTGGTTAGGCGTCTGCCCCACTCAGCCGCATATCCCTCATATTCTTCGAAGAAGTCGGGGACGGAGCTCCCGTTGAAGGCAAGACCCCTTACCAAGATCGCCTTTGCGACCCACTCTTCCACGTTGTGGTCGACCGTGTCACGGTACTTGCCGTCAAGAACTTCGTCTCGGAGCGAGTCGTGAAGTTTTCGGAAAATGCCATCCACGTCCTCTTTGTCGAGGTACTTAGGAGGCCGCATCCCAGACATCAACAAGGACCGGGCATCGACGGCGGGACTCTGCGAGTAGAGGGCCATTCCGATGGCGTTGGCGTCTGCGTTGTTCCACAGAGCGGGGACGACGCCCTCGTATTTTGCCAGCCAGGGAGGAATCACCCCGTCGGTGCTCGCTATCGTGCGAGGGCCGCCGTTCGTGTCTCCGGTGGGCAGGACGCCCTCGTAGAAGATGGGAAGGTAGCAGGCGGTGCACAGGTGAGCGCCGATCGGGTGGGCCGTCATGCACCTATGGCATGGAGCGGACACCACCTCGCGGACATGCTCCGTCTTGGTGATCTGGTGATACTTCTCCATCTCGTCCCGACACTTCCTCGGGTTATCACTCACGGAGTTGAGGAAGTTGGGCGGATAGCACCAAGGCCTCAGGTAAATGATGGAGCAGTCCTCCTTGAAGTAGACGCATCTCCAGTACCCGATCGCGATGTTCTCGCGCGACGCAAAGGTACCCTGACGAGTAATATGCATGCCCCCATTTTCCATGGAGAAGAAACGTGCATCGATAGCCATGACCACATATCGGGGATCGCTCCTTTGGCGTCGACCCGAGGTGTGCAGCTCCGTCACATTGCTGTCGGTGATGCGGTCGACAGTGTCGTTGGGGCATTCTCCGTGATCGCGGAGGGATTGATATTCATCCGGCCTAGAGGGAAGGAGCTCGATCAGAGCTCGCCCACCCCGAATGATCGCCCCACGTTCTACGTAGAGCCGATACATCCGGAGAGGCACCACCTTGTAGAGTGTCTTGGGAACCACCTTGGATGTGATAGGAAGACAAACAGGGCTCTCGTAGAGCATGTATTGGTATCGTTCACGAAATGCTCGGTAATCAGTGTCGGATCCGATCTCAAGCGACCTTACCGCCGCTATGCGGGCGGAACCAGGCAGCAACCGACGCTCCTTGTCACGAATGACGGTGATGATGATTTCGAACATTCCCACCCCGTCTTCGAGGAAGGAAGACAGGAGGTACAATGAAAAGGCATCCTCAGACTCGACGCTGGTGCCGAAGTAGTGGCTCAGGAACTTCTTCAGTTGTATCACCGAAGTGACGTTCCCTTGCCCGCTGGCAGACGAGGCCTCCAATTCTGGGTCCTTGACTGCGCCTGCATTTCCAGGCTGCACAGCTGTTCCACGGAGCACGTCGCGTATTTCCGCGCATGCTCTCCTGTAGTAGTGCGAAGTGGCGCCCGTCCTACCCTTCACCTTCTGACGGATCTCGTCGGCGAAGTAGTCCAGAAGTTCCTCGGGTGCGGGAACAATGGCCTGAATCATCAGGTCAGGGTCACTCCTGGTCGGGAGGATAGGTCCTGCTCTGGACCTCACTCCCATCTCCAGGAATCGGGCAATCTCCCCGATCTTGGCGCACAGAGTAGTGATCGTGTTTCCGATCCTGGGGGCGATATCTTCGCCTCTCCTGGCGCCGAGGATGACCACATTTTTCTTGATGGACTCCTCCTTCAGCCTCTCGAGGTTCCTCCGGGTGTCTTCAGTGCCCTTCACCGCGCTGAG